TTATCTATATATATAACCCATTCAACAGGTGTCCGTCCTTCCTTCCTTCCGTCCGTCCGTCCCGTAACCGTTTGACAACCGACACTAGAGGCGCCCCTATCGTGTGTCATATTTCAAACATTCAAATTAACAATTTTAATTCTTATATAAATTAACAATATGAATTATTATTATTCATTTGGCAATAAATTATTATTTGGTCAATATAACAATATAAATAATTCAGTATATTTGTAATATGAATTTATTATTTCAGGGGCTTATATCTCGCGAAGGGTCGCGAGTAGGGGTATGGTTCCTTTGCCTTTATTGTTCGCACAAGGGGCTACAGTTTGGGGGGTCGCCACCTCTTCACCTAATCTTACCATTGGGACTTTAACAGAGCTGTACAGCATATTGATAGGAACAAAAAAGTCAAAGGAACCGTGCTTCATGGAAATTTGTAAACAACGCCCACTAGGGGGCGTCCCGGGCTACTAGTAATGCAGAAAAGATTTAACATATTGTGAAAAATGTACAACTGACAAACCTACAAACTGGGTTTGACTGTATTCTGGAAACCAAACCACTTAACAATTTGTTTTTAATTTTTTGTTCTTATTTATATTCAAAACAAAACAACCAAATACACTTAGCATTATTTATGAAATTATATTTTTGTTGAGTAACTCAAATATGATTAGCCATATATGCTTCTGAAATCATTGTCTATATTTTTTAACACTTTTTCTCAATTAAACCTTATTTTAATTAACATAAAACCATTTTATTGATTTGTTTAATTTATAAAAAATAAAAACACATTTCTAATTCTTACATTCACAAGCTAAATTACTTGAAACATCAATAAAACTATTTAGAATTTTTACAGGTTAAAAAAATCTAAGTAATTATATTACTGTATATAAAAAAAAAATTCTTAAAAATTAAAATCCAAACTTACTTTACAATGTTTCAAAGCAGTTTTATATTCTTTTTCTCTAAGAGCTGCTCTTGCTTGTTTTGTAAGTACTTTGATTTCTTTCAAATCCATTTTACAAAAAAACACCTAATCAAAATAAATCTTAGTTAATTTATTAGCAAATATTTTTGTTTGTGCTCTTATAAATAAACAGTATTTAAAAATTATGGCAATGAAAATTTTGACTATGAGGAACCCAAAGAATTTCCTCACA